GTGCAACAATTCTATTTCTGTTATTGACCTAGTCTTATGTAAAACATGGTACAACAATTCTATTTCTGTTATAGACCTAGTCCAATATAAATCATGGTGCAACAATTCTATTTCTGTTATTGACCTAGTCTTATGTAAAACATGGTACAACAATTCTATTTCTGTTATAGACCTAGTCCAATATAAATCATGGTGCAACAATTCTATTTCTGTTATAGACCTAGTCCTATATAAACCATAGTGCAACAATTCTATTTCTGTTATAGTCCTAGTCTTAGGCAAACCATGGTACAACAATTATATTTCTGTTATAGACCTAGTCCTATATAAATCATGGTGCAACAATTATATTTCTGTTATAGACCTAGTCTTAGGTAAACCATGGTACAATTATATTTCTGTTATAGACCTAGTCCTATATAAACCATAGTGCAACAATTCTACTTCTGTTATAGACCTAGTCCTATATAAACCATAGTGCAACAATTCTATTTCTGTTATAGACCTAGTCCTATATAAATCATGGTACAACAATTCTATTTCTGTTATAGACCTAGTCTTAGGTAAACCATGGTGCAACAATTCTATTTCATGTTATAGACCTAGTCCTATATAAACCATAGTGCAACAATTCTATTTCTGTTATAGACCTAGTCCTATATAAATCATGGTGCAACAATTCTATTTCTGTTATAGACCTAGTCCTATATAAACCATAGTGCAACAATTCTATTTCTGTTATAGACTTAGTCCTATGGATACCACAGTAATACAATTTTACTTGTTATAATCTTAGATGCATTAAGCAATGGTGTGACTTTTTTACTTCTGATATAATCCTAGTTTCGTTTATCTACTTCTGATATAATCTTTCTTCTTTGTAAGCCATGGGATTTCAAACTTCACATTTATACTAAGAAGTTCCTATTAATTTTAACAAATGAAAAGAGGGAATACTTTAAACATACTGTAACACCAAACCTGGGTTTGTAGGTAATACTTTAAAAATACTGTAACACCACACCTGGGTTTATATTGTCACTAGCAATACTCTGTGTCCGAGCATTCCAGTGCCACAAGAGAACAGTGCAGTCTTCAGATCCTGATGCAACATAGCAGTCTGACGTGATGTTGCACTCGGACCGAGCCAAACATGAAACAACTCCAAAGTGACCATAGATGATCTGGATTATTTTAGCTACAAAAGAAAAACGTACCATTTAAATTAGATATAGCCAAAATATGTACTAGGTTATATACAAATGAAGTTTTAAACATTATGTGGTCCAGTCTTATAAAAATATTTAATTTTACTTATTTCACTAAAAATACTCCCCTTCAACTGAGTATAGTTACTAGAGAAATGGAGTATAGTTTTATTCACCTAAGCAAATGTATTGGAGAAGAAATGTCGACTATAATTATAGCATTGAGTACAATGAACAAGTGTGTTGTAGACAAAAAATCAGATGTCTTACAAAAGTTAACGTTCTCATGATATGTCTGTGAATTGATGATGTTAGTCTGAATCAGACTTGGACAAGTTGGAGTACAAGGTAATGTTTATGTAAAAATTAAAAATACTTTTGTCCATACTGCATTTTTATTGCCTCGTCTACCATGTATATCCGTATACAGTATGTGGTATTTACTCTCGTCTACCATACA